ACCGCCGCCGCCGCCGCCGCCGCCGCCGCCGCCGCCGCCGCCCAGTTATGTGTGTCTTTAATGTAATGAGTGAGATCTATTATTTGCAGGAGCAATCCAAGTGAAAGTTGTGCCTTAGGAATTCCTAAATTTCACAGAGGTTCTTCGTGGTGGGGGTGGAGGGCATGCTGGTGCTATTCCCTGCAGCTGCCATCCTCTGATGGGGGGGTCTGTCACAAACATTCAAAACCCATCTCATTTACAGTCACCCCAAACTCAAATGCTTCTTGCAGGGAGGGCCCTTAGAAACCCCTTTCTGCTGCTGTCTTGGCTGTTTTAAGCTGAGTGGGAGTGGCAGGGAGAAACTGGCTCTAATAACAGGGTAACTGCTTTTAGCTAGCAAAGATCTGGGAAAGAGAAACCGTGGGAAGAGAAGCCATTCTATGATTTAAAGGTTTTTACTGGATGGAATCCAAAAGATGTCAAATTTTCCACCTGCTAAGACTGTAGTAGATAAAAGCAAGAAATCATAATTTTGATAACTATGGAAAGCAGTTTTCGAAGAGTTGTTTAGAAAATGTAGACATTTCATTGCCGAAATCCCCTGAAACCTTTCCGCTTCCTTTTCCTTCCTGTCTCCAGGTCACACTCACTGAAGTCTGATGGGGAAGATAATCCAGAATTGCCGGAGGAGTTTCTGTTCGCATAGGCATCATGCAAGCGCAAGTCTTTAGGGGAAAGCAGCTCTTGGCAGACATTCCAGGACCACGTGTACGTAGAAAAGGTGTTATAAAAGGACTCATTGTTGGTTTCGATCCCAATCAAATCCCCTCGGATCTTTTTCCAGAGATTCAGCATTTCTTTCCGGTGCTCAAGCGCAATTCCTAAGTTATAGGTGTCCGTGGCTCTCTTGACCTGCACCGAAAGGACAGGTAATTAACTTAGTGGAGTTACCTTAACGATCTTTGATTTATAAACCATAATCATTGGTGACGTGAGAGTCACACATGTGAAGATCACTGAGACTACATATGGGGTAGCATGGGACTTATGAGCTAGGAGTTGGTGGAAATCAAAATGTATCACTTGAAAGCCAGGCATGGTGGCGCACACCTTTAATCCCAGCACTCAGGAGGCAGAGGCAGGCGGAGCTCTGGGAGTTTGGGACCAGCCCGGTTTCCATAGTGAGTTCCAGGAGAGAAGTGTGGAGCCAAGCTGGGATATATAGGTATGGGGTTCAGGCCGAGACAGGGAGAGTCAGCTGGGAGAAGATGCTGAGCTGAGGAAATCCTTAAGGATATGAAGGCTGAGGCATCAAGGGGTTATGGGAAGGAGTCCCAGGAAGAAGAGGCCTCATAAACAAGTGCTTGAAGACAATAAACAGCCTGGACTTGGCAGGGGAGCTGGAGCACCTTGGTGTTACCAGAGCGTCCGTCCATCCGTCCGTCGGGGTTAAAGTGAGAGGAGGGAGGAGTGATGGAGGAGTCACTGAAGGTTCAGTGTAGTGGAGGAGAGCCCTTGGTAGAAAGCACGCGGTGGGAGCAGTTTCTGAGGGAAGTGAGATAAATTCCTCAGCTGAGCAGAGCAGAAAACGCTGCCGCCCCTGGAGGGGAAGCCTTGGTGACCAGGGCTGGCCTTGACGTTTTTTTGTGCAGCGCAGCATAGGCTGCCCTTCAGCTTGTAACACTATTGCTTTTTCCACCTTTAGGGTGCTACTTGGAAGCATTTATTGCACCCATCCTTCTTGGCCTCCAGAACTGGGACTCAAACCTAGGGCTTTGTCTGTGCTAGGCAAGATCGCTACCAACTGAACTGTACCTTCAACTCAAGCATTTTCCTTTAAACAGGACAATGACGTGTTTGGATCTTCATGTTAGATCATTTAGTAGCTGTGTGGAAAATGGCTGGGATAGCAGATTAGAGGCTGTTGTCCAAGCAAGTCTTACGGAAGGACTCAACTCAGGCAGAGAGAACAGGGATTGAGTGAAGGGAACAGACTTGGAAAGCTTCCCAGAATGAGTTGGACTAGATTTGGTGACTGGTGGAGGTAAGGAGGAAGAAGGAGGAGGGAGGAGGAGGAGGAGGAGGA